TTTAGGATTTAGGCTCTGTCGTATAACGACCCCGGTGGCCGAGCGGAAATGCACAGGAACCATGACTTGGAGGTACGTGGAATGATACCCGCGCAGGGACGGTACGAGTCGAGATCGCCGGAGAGGGGCTAACAAATTCGGATATAGTGGGTTGCTTGCGTACTCAATATGCCTCAAATGTTATCTTTTCTTTCTCTTTTTCTTTCTCTTTGGCTCTGGTAACAGGCAATACGAAAATGTCGCAGGTTGGACTGTGAGATCGTCGGATCTGGCATTGTATAGACAGCGATCAAAGATAAAGTCAAAGTTGCGTTTCTGCTAATCGAGCAGACAAAAAGTTGAGCTGACCTGATGATATGTTCGTTTTCTCGAATTTTGCAAGATAGTCGTACATCTTTAACGGACCGACGAACCATTCCAAACAATTATGAAGGATATGAGAGTAATAACTAAATAGCTTCGATATTGATGTCCGCAAAGCAAATTGATAGCTTTCAAGTCCTCTTGTAACCATAACAAAACGAAATAGTGGTGGCTGAATATTTAAGAGGAAGTTTATGCATAATGTTTCAACGTTTATGGGGGTCATCCCGCCAACGTGTTTGCCCTAGATTTAAAGATGTTTTACATCGTTTAAATTAGGATTTAGAAGCTCATCGAAAAAGAAAATTTTCGATTTGGTATCGATATTACGCATGCTTTTTGTAAGCTATTAAATGTATCGTAGATGTCCACGAAATTACATGCGGCAAATATAATTTATTTAGTGCCACAATAACGGGCAAGTTCGTTTTTTGAAAGATAGTTATTGTTTAATTGTCCCGTGAGATATACTGTAGTTGTTGAAGTTGGTGTATAATATTAATTGCGTTGTCAAGTGCAATCTGAAATTATAGATTCATATGTGTTGTAGATCTTAATTATACCTAGATCTTTTGGATTGGTCAAATGGTAGTCAATTTGAAGGTTCTGATACCAAAATAGTTGTACACTTGCCAAATTCATATTTGTCGTGAATTTACCCATTTTAATGAAGTGATCAATTTTACTAAAGCTTAAATTATGTTCGAAGGGATAATAGAGAGTTTAGGCTTTATAATTACAGCCACAGAAAATGACAACAATGTGGCGGTTGAGGTGTTAGCTAACCGTTTAGGGGGTCCCCCTCGTTCCCTCGATAAGCACCGCTCGTGCCGAGTAAGTGGTGCGAGTCCTATTTCCTGTGGGACCAACCCAAGATTTACAAAATATGTGTGACACAATGAAAGCAATTGTACCAGCTAGTAAGGCCTTTCGAAGAAGCATACACCCCTAACAACTTATAGTTGGGCTATCCGGTATGGTAGGCAACCAGAGAAGCCAGTAAGCACTTCCCGTCCCGTGAGAAAATATCCACGGCCTGTTTTGGATGCGTAGGCCCGACCTGAAGGGAGCAGTATAATATCGTTAGGAGATCTGCATTTACAGGATAAACCTACAGAACAAAACAAATAAGTTAGCTAACAGTTTCGGGTCGCACTTCACACACTGTCATTTTTGCTTTACGGTATCGTGTTTGCCACCCAGTCTCCGTTGCTATCTTATACCGGTAATTTTGCTAAGAGTAAGTGCCTGTGAATTTTCTTGATATTTATATTCTATCAATTATTATAATTTTTGCCACAGCTATTATAGACATTGGTTTTTATTGTAGTCAAGCCAGTTTGCAGCTTTTGATTTGGCGGAGGTAAATTAGCAGTAGTCACGCAAGAGTAATTATTGCGTGGTAAAGTAGTAGCGACGGAGCAGTACTGGTACTACTTGCGACATATATATTTGATTCATGTATGATATATAAAAAGACGAAACATGCGCCGCAATAACTACTGCATATCACTAAACACACCGCGAAAGAGCTGATTTATGACAGAGCACCTCTCGACGGCATGATGAGACAATCTCTTGGACTAGTATACTTAAAACGCCAATTATCCACTTCGTGAATTACTCCAAATTGGTGGTATGAACTGGTGATATTAGGGGGCTTGAGCACTCAATCCGTCATGCCTTTTCGAGCTGTGGGACATGTTTTATATAATAGAAGACTTGTCGAGTCTTTTTCATTCACACCGCTTATTCTAGAAAATGAAATGATTGTATCCGAGCGATCATGAAATCCATGTTATACTTGAACCGTGAACATTAGAACGGTTCAGACGAGTATTGGCGGATAGAAGTCTTTAAATTGATCATAATCTCGACTCTTTATCTTATTCAGGCAAAAAAACTGAGTATCACATGTGTACAGAGGATCTACAAAGCCGTAAAAATGTGTTAGCATCACGCTTTGGCAATCGCGTAAAATGAAGAATTATTCATGACGCAGAACGCTATCTGTGTATCATGTATTTAATATTCGGAACAAATACGCTCAAGCGATCAGGACGGTATGGAATTACATATAAGTGAATTTGATGAAGCTGTATAATATATAGGTGCAATAGTTTACTTTACCTGATTCAGGATCACAAAAGCTTGAAGGACGTCGATCAAAGCTTGTCGATGAGAAGTCCTATCTATAATAGACAGCAAAATGTATAAGATCATTCATTGCATCTAGTATAAACAGTACATGAGTCGTTTTAAGTGCGTGTTGTTGCATAAATGCATATTCGCAAGCACATGCACAGGTATACGATGCGTGGGAGCGCGTGATAGAATCAGGTGTTTCCTTCCGGTTGTCATAATAAATTAAGAACTTTATGGCCACCACATATTGACGTCCATATTGGGTTAACTAGTATAGTTGATAAACGACGCCTATAATGAAGTGTACATGAACTCGGTTCTGCTACCTTAACATTTTTCCCAAGCCACCCGGTACGGCTCGAAGTAACCATCACGTTTAATTGTCATTTTTCTGACATCGGAATCGATCGTAAACACGAGAGAAATTCGCTTAATCTCTGGATCGCTTCAATATGTTCCGCTTGATATATATCGTCTGCTTCGACCGGTATATTCCTGTTTCGTCTTGCCACGACCTCGACACCAACAAATTATGTATTGTTTGCACACTTAAGACTACCGTAGAATTTATCGGTGAGCAGTTAAAATATGTGTTCTGGTTAGTATGTCTAACTGGAACAAATTGTTGTCTCTGATATAATTTTTCGTGGAACTCAGGAGTTGAAGGATACTATAAAGCGAGTTTCGAACACAAGATAACCAGCCAGTCAATATTGATTAAATAAGCAAGGAATCGTCTGCACTTCAAAGCTCTGGTATTTTTCAGTGTATAATCAAAAATTGATCGATAAGCAAAATTGCTTTGCTTGTAGACCTTGTACCCGCCAATACTTGCATGATCATGCGAGACGATACAAAGCTTCATACGTGGGTAACCCCTACCGAGTCTTTCCCTGATTTATTTCCCGATATGATCATTTTGCACGATTCAAATTGATCCTGCATTGCAAGCTATCTTTCAGTAGCAAGCTGACGGCAGCATTTCATACTGATAAATTCTTACAAAATAAACTCTATGGCTCGATTCTCGAATTCACCGAAACGACTCGACGTCGTCCGCAACAAAAATGTCGAGCACAAGCTAGAGGCGTTTTAATAGAACAGGCTAGATTTGGACCAGTCGTTCGATTGTACCTGTGTCAAAAGATTTGGTCACTTGTTACCGTTACTACTATTGTTGCAGACGTACTCGATCTAATAGTTGTTAAGCAGACGGACTGGATCTAATCGTGGTTAAACAGACGTAAAGCTCCTTGGTATGATTGAATGGTAGACTTTACCTGATTCGTACGAATACAAAGTCATATACCTGCTTCCTAAAGAAATGTTCTCAAATAATTGCAAGCGACGACAGACTCGAAAGTGCCATGATGCATGGTGAAGTCGGATTCAACTGGTTGGCAACAGACATGTACATGTCAGGTAGAAAGCAGATTTACACTAGAGTGAGACTTGCGTGCGTGTTGGATGCAATCTTCTAAATCTTCTTTCAGTCAAAGGTATCATCTCTTGATAATAAGTTAGTAACTTACGTGGACGCCTTGCTCGTTCTATCATGTCTGACATAATACACGAAAGTCATCGTGGTAGAATTGGACTTTAGTTGAGGCACTTGGGATACACAACAAATATATATGAGCTATACTTGATCTTAAATTTCGTCGTTGTCTATCAAGTTCGTGTATTAGCGACAATGAGGACACATTAATAATTACGGATTGCCAAGGGAGGACGAACGAGTAAGTAGCTACAGATATAGCAAATTTAGCAGTTCGCGATTGTCACACTAGTATGAATGTGTAGGTAGGCGTCATCGGGGCCATGTTAGATATCATTTGTGCTAAGACGATCCACCGTTAAGTAGCCACTTTTTCGCCAGCTGTGTATAAAGTTCATCTGCATGCAAATTTGGCCGACCCTAACTCAGCAGTCTCAAATTTACCTGGTGGCATATTTATCTCCCGATCAGGCCAACCGACCCAGTCGTACTAGTGTGACACTCGCGAACTGCTAAATTTGCTATATCTGTAGCCACTTACTCGTTCGTCCTCCCTTGGCAATCCGTAATTATTAATGTGTCCTCATTGTCGCTAATACGCGAACTTGATTGACAACGACGAATTCAAGATCCAGTGGAGCTCGTTTGAGATTTTTGCGCTCACTCTGATTGACTTGATACGCGCGCCTTCAAAACACGTCAGCTCTTCCATTAAGTGAGAAAGTGCTGGACCACTACGCGCTACCATTAGCATGTGTTCTATTGACTGATGCACGAAAGAAGTTCGAGTCTGATCACGACATCATACGTGAAAGCTACTGAATCTTTCTCTATTCAGTGGCGATTGAAGGACTCGTCTCGGTAAAATTATACCTTTGCTCGACTTTCCACTCGGCAGTGTCAAAAAGCTAAGTAAACAAAGCGCTTTATAGGCCCTACATTTCGCGTCCCGCGCCAGCCAGTCACGCAATCCTCGGAACCCCCACGACGCGACATGGCCGACACGAACGCAAAGCTCCAGTCGCTGTTCGGCAAGAACAAGCTCAAGAAAAAGAAGTCCACGACCGTGAACGCCAACGTCATTGTCAAGACGAGCGCGCAGAACGCCGAGCGTGCTGCTGTTGCTGCTGCTGAGGCCGCTGCTGCGCCAAAAGCTGCCGCGTCTGGTGCGCCTGCGACTGGGAAGAAACTGTCGGATTTATCGCTGAACAGAGCGGACGACGACGTGGAGAAGTCGGCTTTTCAGTGGGCCAAGCAGCCCAAGAAGTACAAGAATCTGGATGAAAAGGTGCGCGCGGGACAGACGAGAAAAGCACGTTTTTGCCACAAAGTTCTTTTGTCGTTGACTCATTGTTTGCACGGCCATGAGGGGGTAGGAAGCAGTGGCTACAACGTGGGCCGAGCGGGAACAGCGTCAGCGCCTCAATCGCCGCATTCCATTGGACAATGAGCGTGCGTTTCCATCGTTGGGCGCAGACGTGGACGGTGTCAACGCTTCGCTTCAGAAAAACATGAAGGCACCAGTCGCTAAGGCAGTAGCGACGAAGAACGCCTGGGCGTCGCTGCACGATGATGAAGACGAGGACTAGTTATGTGCTGGACCCGGTCGAGGAGGAATACGCGGCTAGCTGCTTCTGTCATGGAGGCAACGATACGCGTCTTTTGCACGTCCAGGAAGTCGAAATGTGCGTAGCCCTGGATTGGTTTTGAAAGGGGTGTACCGCTAGACAGCGCAAGCTCTGCTTGGCTGGGGTGGGTGGTGAAAAAACTGCTGCTGCTACGTACGCACTTAAGGGCAAGGGAAGATGTAGAGCTGGGTGCGCGATATGGTCAGGAGGATACTAGTCGAACAAAGCGGTGAAGTTGGGTCAGCTAACTGACTCGTTTCGTACACACATGTAGCATTGTGCAAGGACAGTTTCCTTCGTTTGATGAGATTCCCTACTTGGGTTTTCGCGCTCGAAACTACGTGGTCTGACGTTGCACTGTAGCCGCAAGCCGTAGCCCCTGCTTTTGTACTGTGGCGTATCGCTATCGTTGTATGACGTTACTCACGACCAACACGTCACTCTCGTGATACAGTTCGCTTCTACACAATCGTATAGTTGTTGTACAATAATGGGGCAATGGGGATGGCCTCAAGGGCGCAAGCCGCGTCCGTGTTAGTCAGAAGAGAGCAAAGTAAATGCGCCAATCTCGTCAGCGATGGAGGAAAGAACTTGAGTGTGACCAAAAGGTATGCAAATGACAAATGCTTCGTGGCCTTCTTGGCCAACAGAAGCATCTTGAGACGATGAAGAAATCACTTGCATTCATAACGTATGTCATTGTGGTAAGTCGTTCTTTAGTCGAAGATCATGTAGAGCGCAATTGATGCGTGCCGCACGGTGAGTCTATATAAAATGCCAGCGTCGTTATGGCCATTTCCCCATGACATACAAAAATTACAAGGCAAATTACTTTCAACTTATAAGAGCAAAAGTGAAATGGAAATGTCTTTCTTTCAGTTCGTAAACTTCCATTGTGTCGGAAGTAATTGATGACGCAGCGCAAAATTTCGCTAGTTCATGTCCATCCTCGACTGCGCATCTTCAACATGCGCCTGGAAGAAAGGACTGTGGAGCGGAGTGACTAGCGAGCACGTGCTTATGCACATTGTAAACTAAGCACGAACACAGATTATGTGTCGATTTGAAGTCGTCCCATTCCTGGCAGTGCGTTGCATTTGCAGTTGTACGACGGAGTGACATTTGAATCACTCAAATCGCTAGTATCTGCATACCGCAACATATGATTTCAATCACAATGATGCAGCAAATGATGTAAATGTTGAGCTTTCAAAGGTATAGATGTAAGGGGCTTAGTCTTATTCAGCTGCAACGTGATAAAGAGCATACTCGGTGAACTCGCAGAAGCGTCAAAAGACGAATGATATACGCTGAGGAAGGTACAATATAAACTAGGCTAGCTACGAAATTGGATTGGAACAGCAAGAGCCAATAGTAGCAATGCCTTGCAGTGTTATACATTCATATAATCCTACATTCAGATTGGTGTCTCCATTAAGCATGTAGCTTTCGAATTCAGGTGTTATGCGGTATAAATGTACGACAGATTAGGTTACTCTGCGCTGACACAGAGGACGTATGTTTGGGCCATCAAAGATCTGTATTCGTCAGTCCATTTTTTCTTGAGTGTAAAATACTAAAAGTTAATACTAAGGATATCAACCGAATAAACATATCATTATGCAACACCACACATACAAAGGCTTGGATACGCAGAATCAGCACAGCATTTGTCGTCTTCTTTTCAAATACATACCGTTATATGATCAGTACGTTTTCATACATAACATTCTTCTTACATCTGCATATATGATTCGTGCTTGCTTTTTGACCTGTATGATTCATTTTAATGTTTGTACTGATGTATATCTACTATTTAAATTTCACGTCATAACTATAATCTGTATTTTGTATCAGAATATTACTCACTTTGGCGTCTCCTGCTTATTAAAACGCCACAGCAATGATTTATATCTGTACAGTTTGTACCTTCCTTATACTCATTCGCGCTGTATACAGGAATGTGCAAAAGTAGCACAAAAATACATAGTAGATTTATTTCTTGACGCAGATACGTAGTTTATGGCTAAATTGAGTTTGCAATTTTCTTTAGGTGAGCTTATCTTTTACTCAAATATATATTGGGTGGAGGAATAGCACGATCAGAAATCACTAATACTTTGGCGAGCCATTGCATTCCAAAATCCGCATTCCGTATCAGCACACTTGCTTTATGACTGTCAATTGATGAAACATGAAAAACCCGGAGGAGAGTATAATAAATCGATCCTAGATTTTTGTGTCGCGCGTAAACCAATTTTTTAGCATTTGTATAATAACAAGCATTTTAATTATTTCACCTGAACGTGATTTAGTGATGCTAAAATTGCTGTACGTACATTAGAGCTTTCATGTGGTCTGACGTGATCTTTTGCATTTGTACTGACCTGGCTATGATCAGTTAGTAAAACTACCAGCCAAGACTTTTAATTTTGTGATTTTTGTATATCTGATCGTGTCCCGAGTGAGATGTGTCCAGCAACAAAAGTCGGCGTGTCAAATTACATGTCCGTTGTACTTTATGCCATCACGGACAAAGCATTTAAGTTTCACTTCTCTAGGCCTGACTACATGTAAACTCCAATTTGCGTAGCGACTTGACCATAGCATCTACCCTTCGTATTGACGAGTAATAACTGATATTCAAATAATATACTGCTTTTTCTACCTCGTGAGAACTACCATTATTGCCTCGTGTTCAGCTCATAGATCTCCTGTACTCAAATGTATTCGCGAAGGATAACTGAGTTTTCTGGCACCCTCGATATAGACGCACGCAGTGTCTGATAATCATTCGTGCCGGTCCTGTATGTCGTGCCTTTCCAGGACAATCCTTGCTAGATATGCGCGCCAGGTAGCCTACGCTAAGTATTATATGTTATGTTGCAAAAATCACCCTACACGTGGCGCTCATATTTTACGTATGCCACCCTATTCTCTGCTACGAACACTTGTATCAGGACGCGTTGCGTCTGCACTTCTTGAAGTCTAGGCGACCTACAGCTGATACCATTGTCGCTATGTGCTCGATACTTTGCATACACTATGTGCAGGAAGCGTTCGATAAAGCAGGCTATCAAAGCATAACAGAAATCATGGTCATATCAACTCAGGTGCAAATGTTGTCATCCGATTGAGGAAACATCATTTCTTGGGGACGTTTGCGTACTTTAGTTGACTGCAACTGAAGGTAACATGCACATTTTCGTTGCATAACTGTAAATGTCGTGTAACTGCTACCCCGTTACATGATGAGGGGAGCATGACGAAACGACGCATTTGGCACGTTTGATCTCAATGTCATCAACTTCAAAGTCAAAAAAACATGTATGCTAGAAGCGGATTTCTCAGTATATTGCTGAAGGGTGTGACAATGTATACTTTATAAACGATAAAGTAGATGACGGCATTGACTTTGTATATCTACTACAAAACGAATTACGTATTCTGGAAACTAGGTGGCAAGGCTGTGGTAACAAGCACTGCACGCTCGCTTCATCATGAAATGACTTGTACGATACGCATTTGACGCGGAGTTATTCGTCAACCCGTCGAATGGCGAATCGTGCGTGTCAACGTATAATCGAATGATATGCTAATTATAGAGGCCATCGGGTGACGTCGATCTCATTCTTACAGACTCGCGCGAGCACTTCGTGCGATATGATGTGGCGGTCTACTTGGTATGTAGGTGCGCTACGAGACTTGTGTGATGCCATGTTTCGGTTAGGTGGTATTTTTATTGCATGCTATACAGATTAAATAGAAAACGCTCAGACGGTACGATTACCACGAATGCGAAACGGAAGAATGGTAGCCAACGAGACAGGGACATTGCCAAGCTTGACGACTCAATGTGCTGTATCGTGAACCTTTTGGTCAGCTGCAGTACTTATCGATGTGTTCTCGACTGGATAGTACCAATACTGAGGATCTAGATCGGCATACGGACAGCTACCGGACGGCAAATCCCTCGAGTGCAAAGCGCTTGCTCTGCTACGTGGATGAAAATTTGATACGTGGAGTGATTTTATCGTCGAGCGTAAGGTGTAACTGGAAATATGTCATGGTGTAAAAAGGCATACCAGCGATTGTGGTCATGCAAAGTGTCTGGGCACCTCCCGATCAATGACAAATTTCGTACACGAATTTCGGGTGGAGGCTTCAATTGAAGATCAAGATATTGTTGTTGCTGAAGGCGAAGCCTTCCATGCTAGGATGTATCTACATACAACAATGTTTGTGTCTCAGTACGGATGTTGTTGTACAAGGAGGCGTACGACCTACCATAGACGTTTAGATCAGACGAGAAGACATTACATGACCTATCAGTAACGCTGTTTACCAGTCCAGAAGACATGGCAGGACTAACGCGGTGACAAATAATTGGCTCCAGGCTACGAAATAATCGAAGCTTGCGTCTGGTGTGTAAGTTCACTAGCACTAGCCTGCCAGATAGTGACGTTACCTGATTACTTGGTGGTGCAAAACACATATGGTGGGAGTTTGAGGACCCACGTACATACTCCACTCTTAGCTTTGCCGCTTCTTCCGGCAGCAAATTTCATCCAGCTTTCATCCTTTCGCACATATATGAGACACAAAAGACGGTAACGGACGGCGCATATAGTCGCAGTTTATTGCTGCCAGTATCTACGTCAAGCAACACTGTCGGACTCATGAAGTGGTCAAAAAGCGCGAGATAAAACTGGTCATCTGGAGAGTCAAGAGTGAATTTATCAAATCACGGATAGGATTCGCACACATGTCGGCAGTTATGACAATGCAACACGCGAAGAAAAGGAACAAAATTGAAGAGGTGGCCGAGAGCCGAGAGAATTCGCTATCGAGCAGGTCTCAACAGAAGAGTTTGTAGCAGGCATATGGATGTCAGCCCTCGAACCTTGAGGATGTAAAGGTTGATGATTTTGTGATAGGATATGAACATACTGTGATAGCAGCAGCTTAGGAAACAAATTGTGGCGAGGTACAAATCGTGAGTTGCGAGGAGCATGTCCTGGCAAGAGGTGCGACATGACCTACATCTCCATGTATTGTCCAACCTTGTGGTATTTATATCGTCAAAGGATTTTGATGGGCCCAAAGCGTTCAAAGGTCGATGTTGCGTCGAAGAATCTTTTCCTCTTGCTTACAAGTTTGTCGTAAAAATCTATTCTAGAATCATTAACAGAGCATATGACTGTGACTCTAGACCGACACTGGTCTATCATCTCCTCACACCTGCCGCTCTTAGCACAAACACACGCATTGAGCACTTGGACAGTTGCTGTCACTTACAGAGCGCCAAAGTTGTTCGAAGCGATGACCTCAGCCGTGACCTTTTTCACATATTCTACACAATATCACCCTCGAAGCTCAGGTGCTCACGTGGTGTAGCGCACGTCAAATTCACGTGGTGCATTTCACGACCAAGCAGCAGCTATGGCGAGTGAGCCCAAGTACTCGGTCCTGCTCCCGACGTACAACGAGCGCGAGAACTTGCCACTGATCGTCTGGCTACTGGACACGACGTTCGCTAAAAAGTGCGTGTTCTGCTTTGCTTGGAGCTGGCCCAGTTGTGGGTGCTGTGGGTACCGAGAAAATCGTGAACTGCTTTTTGTCGCTTGCCATTTTTTATATCTTGCGTTTTCTGAGCAGCAACCTCAAGTACGAGATCGTAATCATCGAGGACAATAGTCCTGATGGAACTCTACAGGTGGCGCGTGACCTGCAGCAGATCTACGGCAAAGACGCAGTCGTCATCTTGCCACGCGCAGGTAAATTGGGACTGGGGTCGGCTTACCGCGACGGTCTGAAGCAAGCAACAGGCGACTTTGTGTTTCTCATGGACGCCGATCTCTCGCACCACGTGAGTCACTGGTTCGCTTTTTGTAGAAAGTGTCTTTTGTAAAAACCATGCGGGACCACGTCAGCGACTTACTGCTATTTTTTTGCTTTTGTAATTCGGTACAGCCCAAGTTCATCCCAGAGTTTATCAAGTACGTGGCACGCAGCTCTTCTTGACATACCGGCAGCTAAATTGCAAGGTGCACTACGTCTGTGCTGATGCCGTTCTGATGCCATCAGGAAACAGGCAGAAGAGAACTGCGACATTGTCACAGGCACGCGCTACGTGTCGGGTGGTGGTGTACGTCTTTTAACTTTGATGCATCTGCACTTGAGATGGTGCCCGTCTTTGGCAGCGTGACCTGACTGTCTTTCTTTGTATGGTGCAGGTGTACGGCTGGGACCTGCGTCGTAAGCTGACGAGCCGCGTGGCCAATTACCTGGCGACAGTGCTGCTGAATCCTTCCGTGACGGATCTCACGGGCAGTTTCCGTTTGTACAAGCGCGAAGTCCTCGAGGACATTATGCAGTCCATTCAGGGGCTGGGCTACGTTTTTCAGATGGAGATTCTCGTGCGGGCACGCCAACGCCAGTACTCTATTGCCGAGGTGCCAATCACCTTCGTTGATCGTATCTACGGCGAGTCCAAGCTAGGTGCCGGGGAGATCGTCGCGTACCTCAGGGGTCTGCTGAACCTTTTTCTCACAACATGAGCACACAAAGAGCGGCGGCCGGCCGTAGCAGAGTGAGTATGGAGAGCGGAGGGTGCTCGATTCAACTCGATAATGATGGCACAATTGGCGCGTTTGTCACGCATGTAATCAAAATCTCTGGCCTGATCTACAGCGCAGACACTGGCAGCACCCGCCTCAGTGGCAGCATTTACATTTGTCGCTGAAACACTGTCGCCGCAGTGACTTTCGCCGGGCGTGCCTTGTTCGGGTCTGCATTCTATTGCAAAGTCCCTCTGTCATTGCACGCCAGTGTCCTCCTGAACGCCGCGCAGTCCACTCGGATCCGTTACTACGGCCGACAGCTTCCGCCCAAAGCTCCCGTTCTCGTCTGCTACTGCTTCTGCACGAGCCGCCACCGTCGCACTCGTTTCTCGGGTCGTCACTTCAACTGAGAGCCCATGTGCCTCACCGCCGTCACTCGCCTCCTGCTTCATCCCCACTCCCCCACTCGGTCCACTGCTGCTCGACGCATCCAGCGCCTGACCAAAGAGCACCACAAAGACGACAAAGCCCAACACGAGCACGAGCGGCACTGACAACATGACAACACCCACTCGAAACGGCGACGTGGCGGTACGCGCTGCCATACACGTGCGTCGTCGACTCCGCCTCAGCCCAGCGCGCCGCCGCTCCAGCTCCTGCATCCAGTAGTTGTGCTCCTCACTGTCCTCCTGTGGATTCGGCTCCTCGTTCGCGCGTGGCTTCAGCAGCAGCGGCTGTCGTGCTCCATCTGAGTCGAGCAGAGTCGACGTCCGCGCCGCTGTCCTCGCTAAGTTCGTCGTACTTACCACGTTGCTGGAACCCCGCAGCAGCTGTTTCAGGGCGGTCTGCGTGTCTCCCGAATGTTGCAGCAACGCTCGCGTCCGGGCGAGGGCTGTGCGGGGCCCTTCGACGTATTCTTCGACGAGGCCGCGACGGGAATCCGGTGCTGCAGCTACAGGGGACGTAAACTGCGACACCAGTTGGTGCTCGGGGATGCTCTGTGGAATGTAAAAGCTGTTGCTGCTGCTGCTGCTGCTGTTGCCACTGCTGGGGATGCTACTGCTGGCTGCGCGGGTGGAAAAGGAGCCATACGATGGCCGTGAGAGCGGCCGTTGGGTCTTGAGATCCATGGCGGCTGACCAGAACATGATGGAATGTGGACTGAATGTACGGCTTGGGACGCTCGGGCGGAATCGCAAAGTGGCTGCGTGGAGCACATTTGGGGATCTTTTGCAACGCCGACGCTTGGCACGTTCCAGGCGGATTCGGAGATAAGAGGAGGGACTATTCGTTTAGAGAGAGAGAGAGAGAGAGGAGAAGTGTGCAAAGGGTATAGGTACACGTATCGTCACAACGTGGGGCCGAGCAAGAGAAACAAAGCAACAGCGGCTGCGGGGCGACGTGGTCAGCCGCCCTAGCCCTGGCTAAAAGATGTGGCACCCTTTATTGCGATCTTCATGCACTGCCGCCGCAATCCTTTGCACACTTCCACAATCGCTCTGATGTAGTGGCTGGGCACATTGTGTCACGGGAGCAAAAGGGGCATTGGAAAAAAAGGCATTGCATGCAAGAAGGCCAAATCTACTTGACTGATCAAGTAGATATAGTGTCGCTTGACGTGGACAGCAATCACTATATGTACGCAGTCAGCGGCGACATCAATATGGAGCGACGAGACGGCACAGGTAGTTGCAATTGGTACACTGGGCACCAAAAGCTTAGGCTCAATCAGGTTTCTGACAAGCTCGCGTTTCGCGCGTTCACGTGGGCCTTTGACATACGACTCAGCGTCTGCTACTGAGCATGCTGTGATTGTAGTGCTATCAGCAGACACACCTGAGCCGATAACAAAAAATCAGATCGAGTTTGCAATCTTCTGGACCTTCAAGCGAAGAGGTGGCTTCAATGAATGGCGCAAGTGCTGGCGTTGGGTCCATCCGGCTTTGCCTTTGTCGTTTAAGGCTGTTTAGCGTCCGCGCCCACTCGACAATTGTGTGGGCATAGTGTGTTCCAACACTCTTTCGCTTCTGAGTGGCAAACTCATCGACAGTTCTGCGTGGGCTAGAGTACCATTGACTTGCCAATCCCACGCCTATGCTGACTTCATGCGTTTGTATGACAATTGCGAGCTCAGAGACCAGTGCACGTACCGGTCACGACTCGAGATGCGATGTAGTGATGATGAAATGCCGAATCGTATTGAGTCAATGCTGAGACCTCAACTCGTGTCGTTTGAATAGAGTTGGACTTGTCATCTTCTTAGCTAGCACTGTCTGAGATGCATCCGCAAGGAACACTAGAAAAAGTAACTACAGGTCGAGAAAACGAACCCACAATGGTCGTGGTGGAACAACGGAGAGGCGCAGAAAAGGCGTATGTAGCACTTCTTGTCGAGAGCTACTATCACGCAAGACGGGACGCTAGAAAATGCATTTGGAAAGAGCGCAGCACGTTGCCGCCACGTTCGATTCGCCGTAATGATACGGAACTTACTATGCTGTATAATGTTTGAGAATGCCGCGCAACTTCAACTTCAATCTCAAATCAGCATTTCTGCCCACAAATCTTCTTTTTTGCAAACATTGTTGCGACTGTCGCAGTCGAAAACATGAAAAAGCAAGCACCGACCACTCGAAACAACCGTTTTATGGGAAAAATGCTTTTGCACATGCGACATCGCAAACGTTTGCAGTACGACGTAGACTGGAACTTAGAGCAACGGATCAACTGCCATGTCACGGACTTCATTCGGCTCGGAGCATCGATTTGCGGGTAGAAAGAGGCTCACGATACCGGATAATTGGCACGAGGAGGCATACGCAACGTTGCTGTATCCACTGGTCATTTCCACGTACATGGAATGGGCGAACTGCTCATTAGAAATGGCAAAGCACATCGAGTAGCGTCCCGGACTCCAATGGTAAGATCGTGTCTCGTGTATCCCCCCATTCCAGTCACGACAGCGGTAATATGCATTTTTCCAGCAGCAGTGGTTGCCCGATAGTAGTAAACGATGCGCGATGAGCAAATTCTTTGGCAGCGGCGCGCCGCTTGCGAGTCGGATTACAAGCAAGCGCAGATTATCAGGACAGCATGAGCATCAATGTAGCACGACACATCATGGACTTCGTCCAAAAGCTTGGTCGTTTCTCATTAGAATCGCAGCCAATTGCTCATATCCGAACATCGACGCGAGCTCATGTATGGTAAAATTGCGATCCGGTCAAGCTCTAGCAAACGACAAAAGCCATCGATCCAAGTCGCATGAATAGCGTCGTACTCTTTGCCGGCTGATGGGTAATGCCAATGCCGGGATAGCACAACAATTTGTCATCATTGACGGTAATAGTCGTACTGTTCTTGCAGAGAGAGACATACGCTCCCTTGTTGTTTAGTAAGTCAACCGGCGGATGGCAAAATTGGTGGACGATCGATTCCTGTTGCGTATGTAGCATTGTCAAATATGCTTACATCCCATTGTACAAGCGTATTTTACCGTTTACTACAGTAAATGTACATCGTTATTTTACAGCTTCGAAGGTGTCCTGCGTCAAAGTACGTCAACAAAAGATGGATATGTGCTTGACTTAGGGCAGATCGGATATCGCAGAGCATCTCGTACACCGGATCCAGGAAATCCATTAACGAATATGAACTCGTTCTAGTCATGTGGCACTACATGATCGCGTGACAGGGATTGGCCATCGTGCCGAACACTAGCTCCTTGTCGTCCAAGCACAAACGAGTTATACAGCACATGGGTCACCCGATGGATCGTTTTGTCGCCCGGCAAGACCGACGAAGTGTCCTACCGGTAGATGGAGACATTGTAAACATGAGCAAGATTCAATCCCACGCTGTCAAGCGGGTGCAACAACTACTACGGACAGAGTGCTTCTCGATGCGACAGCGGAAGCAAAAATGGATACGACATCACGTACGACGCTATGTGCAGCTTTGTCTGCAATAAGACATATCATTTCGCATGTAACGATGCGGTACAAAACGTTGTAGGCTACGCTTGAGGCTGCCAAACTAATTTGCTGCTGGCTAGAACCGTGGGAGTAGGGCAGTGTGCTGGCTGCCTCATACATACTCGCAGGACACGTCAGCACGGACATTCGAAACCCAGAATGTAGGTGACCGGTGTATGGAAATATACAAATGGATCACTGAAGAGCTAGTAATCTGAATGATTTGCCGTACCAGCCAGGGCGACTAGAAGGGTGACAAGAATTGGATCGTGCAGACTTGACAAAGACGACGACGAATATAATGCGATCGCTGAGCTGGACGTGCTCGATTTTTGCTGCAAACTATAGCAGAAAGAGATCCAGAAGATCTTGTGTGAGGTGCTGTCCATGTTAAACGAACGGTCCCGTTCACCCACCACGATCTGGCACCTGCCGCTGCGTGTACAATACAAGAAAATACAACAGCTAAGTGTACAAGCGACTAGGAGAGCCAGGTGACATGATGGACGGTGTCGCCACATTGGAACCCTTTTACATTAGAGGTTCGCCACGCTCTTCGAATGGCTTGATGAGTGCAGCAACATTGGAAACAAATGCTATGGCATATTCATCAATATTCTTCAGATTACGTGTTTCATCCTCTTAGTTTACAGAGAATGTCAGCTGCTTAGATTGCTACAGATCATCTCGTAGTACATATGCTAGTACTACAAGGTTAGTATCGGTAAGCGATCGCACTGGGACGACTGGCAGAGGACACGTCGCTATTGCGACGCAAGGGGCTGCTTGCACGTGGCGTGATCTTTGGGTATCCGTGTTTGCCAGTACTCGCACAACTGTATATACCGATAGGCACTTCAATTATGCTGTGTGGCTTGATCCATTGCTAATAATTTGCATTGCAAGTTAGCCATGGATAGCTCGCTCGTTACCACGTGCTCTGCTTCAGCCGTCGAGTGTACAAATAAGCTTTGGTACCGCGTTATCTGCGCGACATGATTATCCACAAACGTAAGGAGAATCGTTCTGTGCTTATCATGTCCTAAACCGTGCGCCCGTCACCATATTAAAAACCTTCGCCTTAGTTTTACTACGAATCGACTGGGTTCTGATAAGCTTACTATCACTGTTTCTCGTTCCACTTTGTGGTACCGGTAGGGCGACACACTGTTGCTTCGCTCAAGGGTGGGCGACACAAAGCACCAAGCTGGCCAAATCTGGCCTCGTTGTGGGGAAAACACGTGTGCATGTCAATTGCCTCTCGATTCATACCTCCGTATGCGACACCTCATTTTTTTCTTAAGCAGGTACAAGATGATCATTTGTCTCCAATCACTACGACATGTGCTTTCGAATCGCCGAGGTTGCTTATGGTTTCATCTAACGCATGTCTGCCGAATCGTGACATGTGCATCATTTACTCTACCTACCGATCGAGATATTGTGACATGATCCCCTTGTCCTTAAACATTCACACATCGTATACATTCTTGAACCAGACATGTTTCGTGCTCGTGATGCTTGTCGCATCCAGACAAGGATTGGCTCATACCCAGGGCGATAATTCATTCAGTGTTCTAACGATGATTGCTCAACCTACTGTCATTATGAAGAATGCTTGGCTTTCGCTTTCATTCTTGCCAGGTTTGCGCAAAGGGCTTTGAGGACGGCTTGCACGTGTCTTTTGACATTCCTTCGCCGCTCGTCATTAGTGTGGATTCCAAGCCACGCATTCAGATATAACGGTTTGAAGCCGCCCTTTCGAGCGTTCAAATCTTGCCGGGGCTAGCGCCAATAGCAATAAAGATGCTGACATCCTTCTTACTACAGCTGACGTGTCGATAAAGTCGATAGTAAGCTGGTTGCAGGTGCCCGACCCTAGAACACGTGCTTTACACATGATCGCGTATGCAAAGAGAATGACTAGACTTTATGTTATCTACCCACACCATATGCACCGGATGTTGGTCCTTCGGCACATTCTCGCCTGGGTAGGCGTCTGAAACCTTCCCACCTTCATTTTGAGCGCGGTCATCGTTACACCTTATACACGAGTGGAATATTCTTCTTACCTAGACATTGTTTCACATACGTGACTGAGGAACACGTTCATGAACATGTCATGCATCTAGCCACATGCTCGAGACCAGACCTGAAGTAGCGTATCGCTTTGTCTCGCACTTCAATTAGCATGCTGAATCTGTGAACCGATTAGTATGCCGAACATAGAACGCGGAACTCTGTCCAAGAAGAGATAGCAGACACATGGTTACATTTAGTGAAGTCGTGCAGTGATAAGCAGCGATAAGGCTGAGATCCTTGTTGAGCTATCGCAAGTCGTTGTTGTGTCGGCACCTTATTAGAACTGGCGACTATTAATTTGAAGAATAAACAATCGAACCAGCGGGGGTTCCTTGAGCTCATTACAATCGGAAACAGGTGCTCGTAGTATGTCTCCAAAATACCGAAGGCACTAGAGGTGCTCAGGAGGCTGCAGAGTGTGCTGGCTTCGTACGAGCGGGTGATAAAGCTGGAAAGCTAACGGCGAATAACCAGGTGGCAGTGGAACGAAGACGAACAAGCGTTCGATCGGATTAAATGGCTTTTGAGAGCTCTACGAAGAGAAGAAAGCTACGAGCGAACGATTACAGGAACCAACAAATATTTCATTGCACCGTCTTGGCAGCGCACCTGCAAGTTGTTCTCCGATAACTTGATGGTCTGTCTGGCCGCCATCATTCCATGCAGCCCCACTTTGTCTTTCTTCGACTCTTTCGAGGTACCGTCACCTCTAGCTACGTCCAAGCGTCAAGCGCAAGCCAGTCGAGTCACCAGTCCAGTCCAGTCGATACGTCCACTTTCTCCATTCGGCAGTCGTGCTAAACTTCCATCGTGAACACACCCACCGTCGCGGCGCCTTTGCACCTGCCTCGTCTCTTGCCACACCGATCGTCCCGTTCCGCCTATCTCTTGTGCCACGTCAGACAACACAAAGTTTACCCCACTTTCCCGATGCCCAATCCACCTCCTCCCTCGGCGCGATCGGGTCGACAACACCGGTATACCGCAAAGCCTACCGGTTCCACGCCCCGTGCCCAGCAGCTCCATACCCCCCGTACCGCACAGCCAATCGTCGCCCACGAGCTGCGATCATGTCCCGCCGTCGCGCTGCGCCGTCCACCACTGACGACACGCGCCGCGACGCGCCGCTGCAGGCCGTCGTGTTCGCCGACTCGTTCACGCAGACGTTCCTCCCCGTGACGCTCGAGGTGCCCAAGGTGCTCCTGCCGCTGGCCAACGTGCCCATGCTCGAGTACGTGCTCGAGTTCCTCGCCGCGTCGGGCGTGGCCGAAGTGCTCCTTTTCTGCACGCGGCACGCCGACCAATTGGAAGCGTTCGTGGCCACCACGTCGCAAGTGGCGCAGCGACTGCGCGTCACGTGCGTGTCGAGTCCGACCTGTCTCACGGCCGGCGACGCCCTGCGCGAACTCGACCGCCGCCAATTGGTTCAGAGCAATCCGTTCGTGCTCATGAGCGGCGACGTCGTGGCCAACGTGGACTTGCAAGCGGCCATTCGAGACCACAAACGCCGCACAAAGGCAGACAGTAACTGTATCATGACGAGTCTGTTCAAGCAATTGCGGCCGAACGTGGCGACCAGTGTCCGGCCAGTGGACGACGCACTGATTGTGGGCGTCGATGCCGTGACGTCGCAGCTCGTCTTGTACGAGAACGAGCGCGAACGCACGAGCACGCGGCTGGACACTTTGTTCTTGCAAGACCACGCGCAGCTGGCGCTACGCCGCGACTTGCTGGACTGTTACATTGACGTGTGCTCGTCGGAAGTGCTGCTGAAGTTTGCCGAAGATTTTGATTACCAGGAATTGCGACGGGACTTTTTGCACAATGAAGTGCAGAATTACGAACTGGGCAAGAAGTTCTACGTGAACATTGTGACGGACGAGTTTGCAGCGCGCGTGATGGATCCGCGGACATATGCAGGCGTCTCGCAGGCGATTTTGCAGCGCTGGGTGTTCCCGATGGTGCCGGATGCAAATTATCTGGGGGCAGGCGCTGTGACGCACTATGAGTACCTGCGTGGCATGCGCTACAAGGACGTCAATGTGTCGCTAGCAAGGACGTGCGACGTGCAGCGAGAGTGCATATTGGGGGCAGGAACGACCATTGGAGAGCACACGCGCGTGCGCAAGAGTGCGATTGGCAAGAATTGTATCATTGGTGAACACGCGACCATCGACGGCAGCTACCTATGGTCGAGTGTGGTGGTAGAGGACGGAGCAGTTGTGACCGACTCCATTTTGTGTGACGGCGTCGTGGTGAAACGCGGGGCCATAATTGGAGAAGGTTGCGTGCTCTCGTTTGGTGTCATTATTGGCGAAGGATTCTCGCTGCCGCCATTCACGAAAGTGACCAAGAGCTTTGTGCCAGTAGAGGATGACGGGTTCTTCTCGGACGACGACGCGGGTCCTGTGGCAAAGGAAGAAGAGCCCGTTAGTGGTAGTGATGCACCTGATCAATGGGATTCGAAGGACGTTGGCACTGGCGGTGTCGGACGGATTTGGACACTAGACGACGACGGCATTGACGTCGAGTCGGACAGCGACGACGAAAAGCTCGACGAAGACGCGGCGAGAGTTCAAAAGCAGGCGCGTCGTTTGGAGAGACTTAAGTGCTCTCTTATCGGGGCGCGTGATGTTGTGAAAAAAACGATGCGCCGCTATGAGGAGTGGGACACGTTGAGCTCCTCTGGAGAGGAAGACGAAGACGGTGACGACTTGCTTGCTGACGCCAACGCGACAGTGCTGGAAGTGCCTTTCCAACAGATTGTTCGTGAGAATGTATGCACCGGTGACGCAGCTGGACACAATGTGGATGATCTCTTTATGGAGATCAAAAGCTTCAAGTTTGCGCAAAATCGATCGTTCGCCGACGTCATTGGTGCGATCGTGCCAGGTCTTCTAGATCTGGTCCCGACGGGTAAGGAGCAGTCGGCAATGGCTATCTTGGGTCATGTGCGGTCGAATTTCCAGAGGTGGAGCTCGGTCATACAGCGCTGTATCGTGGAGCAGGAAGACCAACTTGCCGTCGTGAATGCGCTGGAAAGCTATTGTGCATCCCCAGAGGAACGTCGGACGTTGTGGCTTCCGTTGTTCCGCTTTTTGTTGCAGACTGTGTACGACCTCGAGTGGGTAGGAGAGGACGTGATTTTGGAGTGGCACAAGACCATGCAGGCTACAGAAACATCTGTTGACACGCTTGCGTCTGCCTCACAGAAAGACGTGCAAGAGTTTATTGACTGGCTGCAGCAGTCCGACAGCGATGACGACGACAGCGGCGATGACGACGAGTCGGACGAGGATTCGGGCGAGTGATCTCGAAAAGCATGTTGCGATGTCGGCACAAGACGCCATCATGCTCGTTCTGCTCACGTACTATCGCGTGCGATTCGTCATTTGTGCGATCTCACTGCTGACTTGACAAGTCTCAGGCCATTTCTGCCTTTCAGCATTCGTCCGCACGCGTAATCATACAGACGGGCGTGGCTTCAGAAGCGTGAAGTAAGTAATACAAAGCAGGCCTGCGGTAACAAATACAGTGTATAACGTCCAATCGATGGTTTGTCCAAACGAATGAATATAAGTTCGACACTATTGAAGCAATGCGCACATGAGTCAGAATGTAAACGTTGGAGACGATACCATGCAACCCAATTATTACAAAATATCCCCCGTTTTTCACTCCTTATTTTAATACTTGTCTGCTGGATTCTATCTTTTCGAGAAAAAGAGATAAAAAAATATGGTTCCTGAAACTGTTGTAGCTGTGCCAATTAGGTCAATCACGATAACCATAACTCAAAAAGAGGAAAAACGTATCAGATGTAAAACATCTCATATGTTTTTTTAGCGCACCGATTTTTCTTACATCCATTACAAAGTGACAATATTAAATCGGGATTTGTACATTTTATTTCATTGTGCTGTACACACAAATTTAAATGCAATAGATTCTAGATGCATATTTGATGTTAGACGGATTTTACAATCATAGGTTAAAAAAGATATATGTGGATAATATTTAGTAGCCGCCAACTCTGTGGCGGTAACGGATTGATGTCGTATAAATTTTTATATCTTCCTTTCACATCCTTTTTTCATGAAAGCAATTGACCACCGAATTGTCGATCAACTGTACAAATATATGGCAATTGAGTAAACGGTCCATCACCTTAAACGCATCAAACAGGTCAGCGTACCAACGCTAACTGTGGATCCGCTTAGCATAGGAAAGCACTCTGGCTGAATCTCAAGGTGTGTTGACTCCAAATGGACAGAATGGGAAGGTCAGGGAGATGTTGGGCAACGATGTCGGCTCTTTGACGTCTGAGCAAGCTCAACAGATTCGTCAATTGATCTAGAGCGCCCCACAACATTCGGTCTTCCACCTCTGGTCCGCACGACGCGAAGAAGCATTCGAGCATAAGGCTCACGATGAGGAAAGATCGTAAGAGGCCTGTGGACCTACATCGACTTGCACAAGCAGAAACCGCTTCTGTATAAAAGAACGGCAAAAATTCCTCACGCAGTTTGCACGGTATCGTGTTCATGTGCTTGATAACTCGGAGCAATAACGTACTTCTGCGGGTGTTTTTTGCGCTTCTATCCATTTGCAATCCATGTGTGCGTTCGTGTTGCAGAATTGCGCTTGTTAGCTACGACACAGATTCGGCCGTGATGATTGACCAAGACAAGAGCTCATACTTCATTCGACGTCAGGTCATCCGCAAGACGCCCAACTAGACGGAAGCGAAGCGACAGATGGCCGAACAAGAGGTAGGCAAACGACGCTAGTGACGTCGGTTACAGCGCAACAAGAACACATCGGAGTGACGCCAAGAGCTCGAGCAACAGCGAAAAACGACGTCTGGTAAAGATTGACCTTGTCGTGGCCATCAGCATCAGAGTCGCATGCACAGAATAGCGAAGTCTGCTGGAGTGTCCATACGCTCGTGAGCTGACAGCGCTGTCGACACGCACGACATGGACGGCGACAGCGTCATTAGCTCGACGGGACGCGTGGTCACGCCACGGACAAGCAACGGCCGAGCCGCCATTTGTACAGCATCGACACATTCTGTTTCGATGGGACAGCACCGAAGTGAGTTGCAGTGGACGGCTTTTGTTGCAGGTTGTATGGACTGTGCAATACACGGACAGCATGCTGTTGTTGACAGTGACCATGCGACAGCCACCGCAATCAGCCTTCGTCACCGCCACTAAGGTCTGCACGGAGACTGTACCTGGCTCATCGGTCTGGTCCGAAAGTGATGAGCCGGTACAGAGACCGTCGCCAGCGCAGGTCGCACGTCGCACTTCGAAACGAGTGCCTGCTGACTAGTCGCCCCACGAGCGTTACAACCTGTCGATCCCGCGCCCGTTCGAGGCGTTACACTCTGGACGAGTCGCGTGGCGACTTGCGACGCGGTCAGCAGCTGTCTCGCACAAAGTCATGCGCTCACTGGAAAAGCGCACGCGAACGTCCCGAGTGACCGCATCGACACTGGCTCTCCCAAACTACCTCCAGCTACTACCAAAACGTGGCCAGAGGGCGCCGTCTGCTCCACGACACGATAGAGAGAGTGTGTCGGTGTCTGTGTGTCTGTCTACGTGCGTGCGTGCGTGCGTGCACGTGATCGACTCAGCTCCACCGACGTGTCGTCGTCGTGTATCGTTTTTCCTCAATGACGCGACCACAAGGCCACCGCCGCGTGTCATTGCTGTGCCTCACTTTTCGCTATTGCGATAGCGGCCCGTTCCCAACCCATCCGCGTCGCGGTTTCGTACTGGCAAACACTGCCGTCCGCCGGCAGCCACACCACACCACACCACACCGACCGCCCTGAGCCGTCCCGTCCCGTCGCTTGCTGGCTGCCGTTATGACAGACGCCTTTTGCCCGGCAGTCGTGCAAAAAAGACGCGCGCCCTACAAACATCAAGTGGATCAAGCGGTCCGCTACCAAAAAACGGATGCGGCCCCCCAAAGTGTACATATACACACATATATATACACATAGATCTGTACATATAAATACATATATAAACATATAAATACATATGGTCTGTCTGGGTGTGTGTACACACACACACACATACCCTCACGTACGTAGGCGCGTGTCTCAGTTCGCCCCATCCCTCGCGCTCTCTCGCGCAGACATCTGACCTTCTCGCACTCTGCGACGCGAGTGACGACGACAGCGGCGACCGACAGACGACGCAGCGCACTGCGCTCGGCGGCCCGCGCGCGACCGATGGCCTCTTCGACGGCTCGAGCCCGCGCCCTGTCGGCCACCGGCGCGACGACTATCTACGACTCGTACCCGTTGAGTCTGCGCACGTTCTTTATGGCGCGCGACGGACCGCCGCCGCCGCATGGGCCTTCGCGGTCGCCCGTGCTCGAGGACCGGACGCCCACTGCGCGGCCAGTTGGGGCACCGAGCGACGAGTTCCTCAGTACGCTGCACGACACGTCGTCCTCGATGGACTCGGCCGCGCCCGACCCGCACGAGACGTTGGTACAGTCTTCGGCTGAGTCTCCCGAGTCTTCTCTCGAGTCTTTCTGCTTGCTGACTGGGGCTGTCGTCCGCTCTCTCTCTCTCTCTCTCTCTCTCTCTCTCTCTCTCTCTCTCTCTCTCTGTGTTGTCTGTGTGTTTGTGTTGTGTGTGTGTGTGTTGTTTGCTGATGCAGCAATCGACTGCGTCTCGCGCTGCGCAGCTTTGCCTTCCGATTGGCAAGTTGCACACGGCGGTGTTTGAGCCGAAAGAGCGCTCAAAGGTTCTCAGCGCGCTGCGGCATCGCGGAAAGCACACGGCGAAAACGCGCACGTCGGGCGTGACGCACTGCAGCACACGGAGGCGTCCGATTGCCCCACCGCCGACGTTTACGGCAAAAGACGTGCTCTACGCTGGCACGCTGACGAAACAAGGGAGTTGGCGTCGGAACTGGAAGACGCGGTTCTGCATTTTGCGCAGTGACTGCCCGAGCTTGTGCTACTTCACGTCGGAAGACAAGCTCGAGTTACTGGGCGAGATTGCAATCACCGAAGACACGATCGTGTTGGACCGCAGTAGCAATGGCCTCGCCCCGTTTCGGTTCCAAATTCGATCGGAAGCACATACGCTGTTGCTTGAAGCAGACAGTCGCGAGTCGCAGCGACGATGGATTGACTCGTGTCAAGCACTCGCTGATACGATTCGCGCGTCAAAGTTCTCTGTCAATACGTCGGTTTCGAGCGTCCCGGGAGCGCTGGAGAATCGACGTTCGTCGCTCTGGGAAGCAGTGGGAATAACACGACTGACTGATGTGGGGGAAACGAGTGTGTCGTCTCAGAACATGGGGGACGACGCGGACCACAGTGTGGCTGATGAAATGGACACGTGCTTGGGACGACCGCGACGTCTGACGGTCGATGACTCGCCAGTGCCACAAGACAGTGGACAGCTATATGATTTGTCCGTGTCGGTGCTCATGGGCCGACGCTGTAAACTGGCACGCTCAGTCGAGCAGTTATCGGATGCCGACAAAGAGAAAGACCGCACGGGCTGCTTTGTGGTCGTGAGTGGCTACAATTGCGCCACTAAGACGTTCGTGGACCTTGGAGTGACCGATGTCGTGAAGTTGACGACACTTGTGGAGGCGTGTGGAGCGGCCTCAAATGCCGCAGGAGGGCAGACGCCTATGCCGTTCTCGATTGTGATGACAGCAGAGCTGGAACGATACGACGAGTTGCGGCTGACGTTGTGCAAGTCGCAGTTGACGCAAAGTCCGGGAACCAGTCACGGGACGTATGGAGTAGGACACTGTCTTCTGGACGATCAGCTGCTGGGCTCCAGGCCTTGTGCTGTTTCGATCACTGATGTCGGCACAGCGTCAAGGGACTCGCTCGCAGCAAATTCTCCAGTGCCGCAGCAAAAGAAACTGAACAACGGAGAGACTATCGATCCGATGTTGACTGGAAGTGGGTCGAGTATGACTCCTGCGGTCGATAGCGAGAGCATGCAGCTGGTGGTGCATGCTTTCCGCTCCGTACCACCGCAAAGTGTGCTTCCCACGACAGGCGTAGACATGGCCAATGCCAAGTACCTTATCCCATCGGCACTCGCGCCTGGTCGGGAGACTGCCAGCAAGCTGACTACTGACACAAGTATGGAGTTTCCGGGACACGTCCGTGGCAGCGACGTGCGCACCTTCATGGAAAACGACACATTTATGTCGGGCGTTGACGAAGGAATGTCAAGTGAAGCTCCGTGTGGTAACTTGCGGTACGTGGCAGTGGATGAGATTTTGCGCGTACCACGGAGTACATTTGCATTGCCGGTAGCGTATCTGGATTTCCTCGAGGAACAAGCGCTTGAGCGCTCCCGGTGGCTTCAGAAACAAGTGGTTATGAACGCCGCACAGCCGCGCGACAATGAGCGGCTGCACGTGGAACTAGAGTTCTTGCGGAAGAAGCAGGAGGAGTACCTGAAGCAGCGTCAGTTCCTTATCCAGCAGGAGAAGCGGTTGCTAGTTGAGCAAGAGGATGGCAGATTCTTTATGGCAGCCAAGCGCGCAGGTATGATTTCGATCGCAAATGAGCGCGATCCATCGCCTGGGTCGAACGCTGCAGGGGCAGGTACAGCGTCGACGAGGAATGGGGACACTAATTCAGTAGCGCCGTTCAAGCGGAGCACGTACAAGAACCTGAACTTGTGGCAGTTTTTGCCTACGAATATGCAGGACCAGTTTCTCTGTACGTACAAGCCGCCCACGCAAAACGACCCAAGTCTCAGCGGACCGAGCGCAGCTGCTTCGTCGCGGCCATTCGTGTGGCATACAATGACAATGGGCTGTCCAGCTGCTCATACAAAGGGGTTTGCGAATGGCGGCTATCCTGCTTCGGTTCCGATTATGATCGCCAGCCCAAATGGTGCGGTAGATGGTGACGGTCTGGACAGCAAGTATGAAGGCAGTTCCCAGAGACCGACTTCCCCGGTGTCGGCTTCCAAAGGAGGAAACAGCAACGGGTCTGCGGTACAATGTGACGATACATTGACAGCATTTAAGCTGCGCCTCGAGCTCCAGGACCGCTTGTCTGTAATTGGCAGCCAGATTTTGTCGGCGACAGCGGCCTGTGTACTCGCTTCATTGGACCTGGCGCTCAACGGGAGCGCTCTGCATCAAGCCCAGCTCGATCGTGCCCCAAAGTTTGGTTACCTCATGAATTTCGAGTCCTTGTTGAGTACCCAAGGCAAAGAGTACGGCATGCTGGAGGACTTTGCTGCGGGGGCGCGATGGTTGCGCAACGTATTTATTCAGTTCCGCCGGCACCCGACCACGGGTTCGTTCTTTTCGTTGCGAAAGTATACGCCGCCGGGGTCCACCGCGAACGATCATCACTGCTTTCTGTTGACAATAGGTATCGACAATAGCCACATGTCTGTGCTGCCACAGTCTCTGGCATCGGGTGACGGCACCGTTCACGTGCGCTGCGTGCTGTTTTCGCAGGGAGTGAATGAGAAGCAGAGTCTTGTGCATGCTTACAAGTCGAGTGCCGTCAAGCTGCAAGAACGCGTCAACCGGGAGAACTTGCAGGAGCTGAAGCGTATCTATGCGCTGTATCGCCACTTGCGCATCGACGAGATGGCGACCCGTACTCGAGATAGCCGTCGAGTGCGAGCCAACAGTGGAGCGCCGCTAGCTGCTGGTGGAGATACTGATGCAGCTGCAGCCACGGCAATCGACCGACACGACCTCCGGGCTTTGGACGATCTACTGGTTCAGATTGAGCACCACATTTGCTCCTCTACGAGCCAGTACAAGAAGAACGTGGCGCTCTTGATGGATTCTTCCGACTTTTGCAGAGCTTTGGGCGGAGCGCGTGTGACGTGTTGTAAGAGTGGGAAGGACCGTACGGCAATGTCCGTGACGCTGGAGCAGACGCGACTGCTGCGCAGTGAGCTTCACGCTTCTCAAGGTGCTGCGCTTTGTGCCAACATGCGACTCTATGGCGTTCGTCGTCGCAACGTCTTTATGAACACGAGAGCAGACAAGTTTGCCTTCAATGAGGTGCAACGGAAGATGTTACCTGAGTGCTACAAACCGCCAGGCGGTACGTACAAGTCTGGCAAAACCTAAGAAGAGTGTGTCGTGAACGAAGGAGATCGTAAGGACTATACGACGCTGTGAAGTGTGGAGCAGACGAAGAATGAGCGTGGAAACGTTCGACCACGCCAAGATGTAAATGTTAAGTGGCAAGGAACGGGAGCGGTGTAGATTTTTATGTGGCGTACTGTATGATGCTATGGTACGCACAACTTGGTCACAAGTAGGATCCTGACTGAGCAAGTCATGCGTGCAGATTTGGGAAGGCTAACGCAGTCAGTTTTGAATAAGTTTCTCTGTTGCAGCTACTTGTTGGTCCATCGTCTTCCTCACGGAAGAACACTTCGACTGAGCCGTGAAAAGTACTAGTCGAAACCGTTCCGAACCATCGCATGTAATAGTGAGACCATGATCATCTGATACTCCTCCTCCGCCTGTTGTTCCCTCAGTATACACTGACGCATTGTCGTGGCAAACGCCTTCATGTCTGGTACGCTCTCAACCATGCTGAGAAAAAAGCCTACTTCGCCGTATCCGTTCGTTTTGAGCAAACGCTCTGTCGCTTTTTTAGCAACAAACGCATTCGTGCTCCTCTCGTTTGAAGCAGCCACACGACGCCACTTCCACCACATCATCCTTTGGTCTTTTATCATCTTCTTCGTCCGTTCGGCGGCACTCCTTTTGCTTAGCAGTATGATTCGCCTGAGCCACTGGATTACAGCACCTGGGTGGTCAACAAGCGCATTGGAACGAGCTAAGCCGAGAATGCCGAAGGCGTCTTCGGGGGTCACTTTCAGCTCCTCCATCTTCTTCGGTAACGCGACCGAGGAGGCTGGAAGATCATCGGCTACAATCCTCAGCATCGCTTTGACGTCGTTTTTGACACTCTCGTAGCCCAACGCCCTAACCAACTCTTCCGCGACGTTTTCGAGTGACCAATGCCTTTGCAATATCTCCAATGCAGCCAGGTGGTCGCTGCGCGTAGCTCGTTTATCTCTGAGCCCTCTGCGCGCATTGTCGTCCCTGATCCACTGGACGTGCTCCAGCCAGACCCGGAGGGCTCGTTTGTCGGCACCTATTGATGAATGGACACAAATTCGCTGAAAGACGGCATCGGCGTCTAAGCCTAAGTGTTGCCACTCTCGCTGACGAGACGCCAGCATCGAATCGGTCAGTCGCATCCACGGAAACGACACCCGCTCTTCGGTGTCTCGGTCTGCGTGGGTGACCCCATCACCCACAAGGTCGTCCGACAATAGAACTCTCGGAGTGTTCGAGTGTGCCACGGTCCCGTAAAGACGCGGAAAGGTGCTTTGAGTAGTGGGAGTAGCATTTACTTGACCATCGACGACAAGGAAAGTATCCGCATGTCCGACGACAAAAGTGCTGCAGGTCGTGGCGAGGTATAGTACGCGCATTTGAAGTAATGTCAAGAGCTTGTCAGCGAATGGCAAAGTGCGGGACGATGGCGGGCCAAAAAGTTGCAAAGTGGGGAGGAATGCTGTGTGGCCAAATGTCCCGGGATGGGGGCGATCGAATGTAGTGTGGTGACGCACCTGCGTGTCCACTCAAGCGAGCGATTGCAGAATAGCCAAACGGGCGAAGGATAGCAGGAAAGAACAGAGCTTTTTTCACAATGAAGATGTAGGAACGTGAGCATGACCGAGGAAGTATTGGCAGGGTAAGCGGGAAAGACAGCCACTCTTTAGCTGATCCGCAGACACAGTCGCACCAGTAGACTGGTCGCGTGGGTAAAACCAGTCGCCAGCCTTTTTCTCGCAATAGCTCACAGGTGTGTGCGTTCCTTCAGTCATTGGGAATTGCTGGAGGGGCGTACGGACGCTATAGCGTAGCTTCTTCCTACCGATGTAGCGACCTGATGTCGACAGTAATTTACGAGCAGCTACAACAAGGCGGTCGGGCGGCCGATTCGTGATCCTTACTTGCTACTACAGATTCATTCGTCTACCAGCACACCCTTGTGGAAATCAGGTCCTGCGTGGCTTCCAGAGCAGCTGTTTTGACGCACCCTTGTCAGCTCTCGATTATGCACAGCAGTCGATCACATAGACGGCCTGTTTTGTAGCGCATATGGGTGACGTCAGATGGCGGGCGTGGAGGTGTAACCGTCATGCTGTGAACGTGGCACTCAAACTGAGCGCTTAGAATGACACGCAAGATATTGACAGGAACGAGATGATAGCATACCTAGTGGTGAGTAGACGCGAGAATCTGCGCGAGACGATTCCTGGACTGTCCTCATTATACAAGAGCTCGATTGGCGAATCAAGGTCACGCACGGGTTGGGAACGATTGTTTCGGTGGATGGACTAAAAGTGGGTTACAAAGGCGATGTAAAGCTTAACGCCAGCTGAGTAAGCGGGTGGAGCCAACGTTTCCCAAGTAGGTGGCATTGTGCCAAGTGCCATGTTAGTGCAGGATGACGACACCGAAGATCCACAAAACCGTTCCCATCGAGGAGTCCGCGTCCATGGCATGAGACGTAGAAGACAAGATGGTAAAAATGTCAAAAACATACGTCTACTCAACGGCGTGCCGAGTAGTAGACGCCGGTCGTAGCTGAAGAACGATACCGTAGGTCTAGGCTCTAAGTTACTGAGAAGCTACAACTCCACTACTTTGTTCAACTAGCATGGGCGAAGCAGTTGAGATACAGTCAGACAATGTGAGACCTAACAGCGTTTTACACGCAAACTGTATCATACCGTAGAATCCGGATATGCGGGGGCTGGTCTTGTCGTTACAGCCAACGTTGAGCGAGCCCAATTGTCGCAAGAAAAGTGTGTAAAGATCGTCACTCCGTATCGTCGCTACTACATCTTGGAACGTCCCTGACAAATTGTCGCTCTGAGAGCGAAAGTATTTGGCCACATTTGTATCTCGGGCCGCGAAAGCGCAGACAGCTGTAGCGTGACATAGCTCCTTCCCTATATTCCGGCAGGGTAGACCGACCCCAGTGGTCGAGTGATTATGCACTGAAACTGGGACCGGAAGGGACCTGGATTAATTTCTACGGTGGGGGGGGTTACGATTACAGGCGCCGGGAGATTGGCCAATGTGTAGACGAGCACCCACCCACCCAATGCCAGCCCGCACCTTAAGTGTGTGATAGTTGGTTGGGCAGTAGGCCCTACCGGCCAACAAAATCATAGTGTGATGAGGGGAGTGGGTCCTCGAAGGAGTTAAAACAGTGTCACTGTACTCGCAGACCACCCCAGAGTGATCTGAAGGACTTCACGGCTTACATCTCTCTCTATTCAACAGGGTACAAAGCATTATCATGGCAAATCCTCTTTGTCCGTACACTTATGCCATACTCTTGTGCAGACCGTGATACTGCAAACAAACTACACAATGACGTTCAGGGCTCAATTCGATCGCCTCGTGGCTCGTAAAGTCGCAATTAGATGGTTGACGGTAAGTAGTGAGTGTTGGCGCTCGCACTTGACAAAGACACACGACGTAATCGCTTTCATCTTGATACGGCTTGACGATAGAAAAAATGATAAAAGTTGAGCAGCGGTTTTGCATACAAAGGGACAAATGGTCGCAGATTATATGCATAAAAAGGAGCAGTGCGGTAGATAGGTAGAATGACTCTACTGTCCAACACTCTTGGTCTTGCATGGCGTACTGACCACCTTTGAGGCTACTGACTACCTGCTGCAACTCAGTGACAGAATCTGAGGCAGCAACCACGTTTTGGTAGTTATATGGGCTAAATGTATGTATCGAGGCGTGTCGTACGCTCTATAAGAGATACTCAATATCGTGGGCCCTACCCAACAAGTGCTAGCAGGACTAGCACAACGACGACGTCAAAGTTGTTGATGGGCTTTGACGTCTTCAGAGTGCTATTCCTGTTGTTATCTAATCGTGCACACGGTACAAGCGACAAAGCTAGTGCACGGCTGTTTTCGTGTTTCGTAGAGCTCTGACGCTGCCAGTCGTGAGTCCACAAATGTCGCTGTACCCACATGTATGTGTCTGTTAGTATGCTTAACAAAGACTTGTCCGAATTGGTGATGTCAATCTCAGACCCCTGCGATGCTACTCTTCTACCAACGACTTTGCGCACTACAAACGCCGATGTCGAATACAAATTTGTCCTGAGAAGCACGTTTGCTAAGCAAATGATTCACATGGGCCATTTGCCTTGCTAAAAACGGTCGAACATCGGACCCGTAACTTTACGGCAATGATGATTTAAAAACAATGATTTCTTGACCCACATTTAATTTGATGACGATCGGAAGACTTCATTTTTGCTGTAAAATAATTATTGAAACATGTCAATTTTTATTTATTTTTATTTGTAGCAATACCATTTTTTAACAAACGGCAAATGAAATGTGCTTAATCGATATGTGCAACCATATCTCAGTCGATTTTGACATATACGTGCAATGCGATTTAAGCTCATACGTGCGGTGCGTAATTCACACGTCATTAGTAATAGGTCCTTTCCGACTTAGGATTCAGAACTATACATTTACAGCATCCATTTTTCACTTCAATTAGTTTAATGTATATATTGCCCGTTTGCTTATCTGGAATCGAGACGATGAAAATTCCGCAAGATTTGTAATCCTCGACGCGATACAGGGTGGTGTGGTGGGCATTCCACATGTTTTGCTAATCGCTGCTAGCTTCTCATCATTCATAAATAGAGCTGTCCGTTTCAAGGCTTTTGAGGCGCTGTACATGCACGAACATATCCGTTAACCTAAGACCACTTACAATGGTAAATTAGCTTCAAAGTATAATGCCATAATGACACCTGGACCTTTTAATTTTGTTAGCAATGTCGAGTAACCGAGGCCGAGTACAGCAAATTTCTTGTTTTTACCTCGTGGAACTCGACGCTACGGGCTGCGAAGATGACTGCTATTTTAGATATCATTGTACGATATGTGAGCATATGCTTTGTTACAACATCCCAAACGAAACTCGATTAGCTTAAGGTCGTATTGATTCCTTAATTTGACAAAACGGTGTCCTATTACAGCACA